GATGAAGTTCCCTTTGTAGTCAAAAGGTTCTTCAAATGGGAGAAAAAAGAGTACAGGATATAGAATCAAGCGATATAGGAGGAGGCTGAATTCTCAAAATTTCGAAATGAGATTTAAGGATCGAATAAGTTGATCATCAAAGTACTTAATGAACAAGATGTGCTGAGGACAACCCCATAAAGTTAAGGAGGAGATTACGGCAAGTTTTTAGCTTAGGCTTACAGTGCCTTCCACGAACTGCTCAATTCGCCGCAAGAGTCATCGAACTCTGTGCTCAGTAGGCTTCGAAATACGCCGAACTCTACGCTAATTGACGTGTAAATGCCAATTAAGACAGGGTTTGGCCTATTTGAAGCGTAGTTTTAGAATGCTTCCTACAAAGATCAAAGATACGCAATCGCTTTTTGGGCTCCGTCCATTCCCTAATGGTGTATGTGCGAATATTAATCTCATACAAGCAAGAAGAAGCCAAAGAAGCGAATATGTGCGTTAAATGAAGTGCCTTTTCGAGGGAGATTCAGCTATTCGAACTGAAACACACAGACACGAAGTCGAATGCATCATGCGTCAGTTTCTGCATCTGACGGCTTCAGTTTTCATCGTCAGGTCGTTTTTTGCTGTCTTGCGCTACTCTTTCAATTAACTCAGTGTTTTTAGCGGAATATAGGAGAAGGTTGTGCTCTGCTAAGACTGTCACAAGACAGCATATGAATGCACGAACCACTTATTCTCACGTCATACAGCTGCTGTCCGAGTTGTCATATGTCTTATCCAAACATCAACTAATTCTCGTCATTATCATTCTGTAACACAAGGGCTCCCATATTTTTTCTGAAGGGGATGAACGAGAGAAGAAAGAAAAAATTCACGAAACTGGCTTGAGTTTTTGAAGTTGTTAAAAAAATATTCCGACCGTTCAGTATAGAAGAAGAAGCAACTTTTGCAGTTTTATAGAAGGCTCGGCATGGTATGGCCCCAGAAATTTCAGAAGGAAGTCCCGTTTGATCTTAAAATTTTTGTACGAAATGCCCTTTGACCCTAAGGCCTAAGGCATACCTCACGCGATTTTAGTCGCCGCGCGATTTGGCACTGCAACGACTCTCCGTAGCTGGTCGTAAACGCACTTTGTTTGGGCCAGACTTGCTGTGCTTGTTACAAATTACGGAATCTACGCACCCATGCATCTGAGAGCCTCGCATGCTTCATCTCTAGGCATCTGGCAAATCGCCAAGTCGCGAGGATGTGGCGATTTCGCGAAATCGCGAGAGGTATGCCTTAGGCCTAAAGCGGCAAATGAAACGTCGACTAAAAAACGTCGCAATTTCCTAGTCTTTTCGGCGATAAAAACGAAATCCCTCTGCTTATTATCCGCAAAAACGATATCCACCTTGACCCGGTACCGTGCCGAGCCCTGCTGGTCTCATAACTGAAGTTGACAAAATTCTGGGAACCATTCTTGAAAGGGCTCCTCTCCCCCCCCCCCCTCCTACCCCACCTACCCCTCTTCGATATCTTATTGTTAGTGACACATGGGACATTTGCTGACAAGATCTGCATTTACACGACGAATCGAACCATGGTTAAAATGGCTTCAAAATCTAGCCTCATCCAACCAGTTACTTCAATTTAGATTGCTTGTTGATAATGGACGAATAGAGTCATGAAAAAAATCGAATAGTCACAAAAATCAAGCAAACAATTTAATGAGATGGTGCAATATCAAAATTTCTTTTGATCAATTTCCGCAATTACCTGAAAGATAATTATAGCTGCTAGCTCAAAATAATTGTGCAATACAGTTTACGAAGAGTACCAAAAATGTATTTCACGCAGGACAGGCTTTAGTTTTCGGTAAAATTTCAAATAAAATCGAAATCCATGCAGTTGCACTACCGAATTGTAAGTATAGTTGATACTCGGATGACTAACAACAAGATTCTTGACTAAATCACCAAATTAGGTGTTTCCCATTCTTCAAAACATTCGGATCCCATTACGGTGTAGGGTTCTAATGAGTTAGTAATGTGCAGCTGCAATTGCTGCAAAAAAATAAAGCTAAAACAAAGCTTTATTTTGTTGCTTCCGCTATCAACGATAGTGTCAAGTTAGAGCTGGGTCTGGATTTCCCACATGATATAAAAAGGAGATCTTCATTAAGTCATTGTCCACATGATCGCTTACAAGCCCAGATTGTGGTTCCTGCCCTGATCTAAAATGCTGATTAGTGCGATCGGATGGATTACTGCTATGGTAGAGTTTAGGGTGCGGTAGAAATCTACTTCCATGATCTGAATGTGCAAGCTGAGTTTCTGAAACAATTTTTAGATTGAGATCGACTTTGAGGAACTTGAGAGTGGGGTACCATTGAAAACCTCTTTAATAGATGTTGGTAACGTAGGTCAATTACTCTCAAGCACGCTTAGTAAGACATGCGCTTAGAGCAAAAATGAGATATTCAAGTTGTTTTCAGAATTGGAGCAGCGGGAGTCACGAAGCAAAGCTGCACTTTTTCAAAGGGGTATGCTGGAAAGTGGGAGGTTCAAATCTGTGAATCTGTAGAGCAAAGCGAAAACTGGTAAACTTCGTTTGAAATTCTTTTCAAGAACTTTGCACTTTGGGGTTCGCCGCGCCACGAATGACTGCTGAACAGCTAACTACATATTTTGACCTTCCTACTTACCTCTAATTCCGAGTATTTTCGTCTTCACCTCTTCCTTTTTTCCTTTTTCGTATTTTTTTCTACAAAAACACAAGCATTTTCTTGGAAGCGCAAATATTTCAATATATCCATGAGATGACATCAGTGTGCTACTTTAATTTGTGGCAGCAAATGCATGGAGTTCACCGAAAAAACGAAGTTAAAAAGAATTTTCGAATGTAAAATGTGCAGTGTTTCCTACGACTTGCACTGTCAGTCGTGTTGTTGAGCGAAAAAGTTGAGTTGAAAAAGACGGAGAACAAAAATAAAAAGAAATAAACATAAGAGCAATACAACGGTATTGTCGAAGATGCGCTGAACATATTGAAGTCTACTTGGTGGAGGAAGGTTGGATACAGAAAAAGTTTTGTTTTCACAAATTCAAAGGTGCGCAAACGCAATGAAATTTTTGAATGACCTGATAGCCGAGAATCTGTAAACGGATAGTTGCTGTGCAGTACCACGTTTTGCAGAGTAAAAAAGTCCCACAATTCAAAATGCGGCAGGAGGTTCGGAAATAGCTTCTCAACCTTCACCAACTTCCGAGTTGCTTTGCAAGTGCCAGATAGTCAACGACTTGTAAATTAAACTCTCAGGTGGCGATCTCATAAGAATTTTGGTCACTACCAGAAATAACTTCGAGGGCTGCTACACTCGAACTCCTAGCGGATGTGCAATGTTTACTGTTTTAGCGAGCTTAGTATACAAGGACATCGCAAGAGAAGCTTGAAGCGTGAAATCTAAAGTCAGAGGACATGTAAGGGATGTTATGTTTAAATGCATACTAAAAACCATTCCACGAGTGGTTTGCTACGCTGAGTTATCTGTAAGATATAAGGAAAACTCTATGTTCTCTTTTCAGCTGAAATACTGCAAACTTTCCATTTGAAGCAGGTTAGGGGCAAATAAAAATGAGTCTATGCATTTTCAAGTTGAAAGAGAGTAATACATCTTGGCCCGTAGTAATCTACCCTACCTGCCGGCAGGTCTTGCCCTCAACTCGCCGCGATCTCGCCCTCAGGTCATGAAAACTGTCAGTACCCTCTCTAGCTTCCCCAAAGCAATCAGTTTGGCGCTCTCCAGAACTGACGGTCCAGCTTAGAGGTGGGCACCAGATGGAGATCGAAAAAAATCCGAAAAATCCCGACAAATTAAAATTTTGGACCCAAAAGATTGACCTGCCGGCAACTTCGTGAGGTATTTTGTCGAGATTTCTGCCGCGATCTCGCCCTCAACCTGCCGGCATCTCGCCCTCATGTCAGCAAAGAAAGGAAAATAGCGTGCATATTGGGGAGTGCAACCTGCCGGCATCTCGTCGTGCCCCTACCACGTCGAGATGCCGGCAGGTTCATGACATAGTGTGATTTTGTATGGAATTTTTTGGATTTTTCGGGCAATTTCTTTATTTTTACGACTTTGTCTTTGTAGCCAAGGCAGGCTTATGACCCGAAACGCATGATAAATATAGAAAATTGCTGGAATGATAAGCTTTGCTTGGTTGCTGAGACAAACAATGATTATAGGTTTTTCTATGCACAACTCCGTCTTCATTTTTGCGTATTTTTATATCAATGTATGTGCTGATTTGTAGCGAAAATCTTTCGAAGGTTCTTCCATGTTTATTGCTTTCCTAATGTCAGTCGATATGCTTTTCGCAGACCCATCTCATCTTTTTGATAAAAGTAATGTGCGAAAAAGACGGAACACCGATGCTTCTTTCTAATTCTTGAATTTTGGGCTTTCAGAAGTCTGGCTTGGAAAATGAGGTTTGTGTCATATTGACGATCTAATTGATCTTAAAAAAGTAAGTCGCTTCTTGCGAATTGCTTAGCACTAAATTGGAGTTCCGAGTTAGTGACAACCGGAGAAATCGAGCCTCTTGACTGTCTGCGGTTTTAGACATAAGTTAGAACCTACGTTTATGGTCTAAAACTATATCCTCGTGTTCAGTGACTTTTTTTGGTCGGGAAGGGGGAGCGGGACCACGTCCTCCAAGGTTTTTGAGGAGCTTTACATTGCTTTACGAACCTGCGGTTTTGAAATTTTGATAAGAGAGGCGTGGCGGTTGTCACTTCGTTAAAAAAGCTTCAAGCCAGGCTATTTTGAATTTTTCGCAGATTATAACATTTGTCTATATACAAATGAAAGCAAGTTACTTGCATGTTTCTGTAACACATGCAGTTCTTGAAGATCACGCGAGATCTCCTTAGCGGGGGGGGGTGGACACTTTAGGGTAGTGTCGGAAGCGTACTGGCCATTTTTGAACTGAAATAATGTTGCACACAAATTACAGAATCCATTTATGCGCACGTTTGTGGAGGGTGACGGAAGAGGTATTGCAAAAGCCTTTTACGATGATGTTTGGAAGCTGGTGAGAGCTTTGGTCGGGTTATACGACTTTCAACCCTAGCAAAATCGGGAGCTCCAATCTGAAGCTGGGTAAGGTTCGATCGAATTCATCAAATTCTTGTTATCGTTTTTTTCTGTTTTGCTGAGAGTTTATGTATTCTTTGTTTTTTCCCAAGTGAAGATTGGCCTTCGCTTTAACCGATTTCACGCCTTCAGCCTTGGGTTGGTTCCATACCTAATCTGGAGGTCAACTTCCACAATGTCCTCTGTTTTTGCACGAGAAGATACGAGATCTCTTTATGCTACACTCCAATGGGTATGATTTTTTCTAAATGATTACTGTCTTGAGAACAATCTCGATTCAGCGACTTAGTTTTTTTTGCAAATGGGCTGACAGAGCAAAACATGGTGGTAAGAAGTTCAGGCAGCATTGAGAGCCACCCTTGTGTCGGTTACCGCTGTGCCAGCGCTGTGTTAGCACTAAGTGGTTAGTCAAAGTGGCCTTCTAGTATAAGATGCTTACTGCTTTGAAGGGCAGTAACACTAATATCGAACTTGCCTTCATTAACTGCTGCGGGTTTCTGTGCGAGGAGTTACGCAGATTTGAACAAGAATTCAAATGCCACGATTTGTATAAAATTAGTCCTCATCTCTTTCTAGAGCGTAAATGAGGAAGCGGCGAGTGAATAACTGAGAATATTTATTGCTTAGATTAGCCTGAGATTTGAACTCTAGGAAAATGTTACACTAATTTTATTCTAGCTGCGTATATAAATTCCTGCTCAGAAAGATCTGCATAACTCCTCGCTCTGAAATCCGCAGCAGATAAGGACAGAAGTGGAATCAGCGTTTCATGCCCCTTAAAGCAATATACATCTCATATCAACACGCCACTTTGACTAATCATCCTTTCTTTGTTAGATGCGCCTCGTATAATCGATTGAAATCCTGGCACGGCGCTGGCACCGGAACTTCGAAGGCAAGATAAAGTTATCAAATCAGATCTTGGGGGAAATTACGGTACCGCTTTCGTTTATTCCCTAAGTACATGAGATCAGAAATGATATTTAGGATGGGCAAAGGATACTGCAGTGCACATTGCCGAACTTGAAAGAGTTTGTGTGGCACAATGTTGATATGGATCTTCTCTTGGTGAGTAAGTTTCTTATATCTCCATCTCACAAGCAAAGAATACCGAGTTGCACTGGAGTTCAGCAAGGGATATGGTGTACATCTTCTTGCTAGTCGTCATTGCGACTCAGTATCCTTTACTCGTCAACCCAACTCATACAAGTTTTGAAATCTTCTTTCAAGCTTATATTTCTTCAGAAATCAAACTTTCCGAAGCATTTGCTGTCGATAACTGCGGAAGCTCAATCGGTGTATGGGTTTCAGTTGTTGAGTAAATGTTCCAGCGTGGAAAATCTCTACACGGGACTGAAAGTTCCAGATAATCCGTGAGTCTGGCTGGGCTGTGTTATTGTTTTAGGGTTTGGCGACGACATGTGACTTAATCTCAGGGAATAGCAGGAAATTTATGCAAAATCATCTAATTTTGCGATTTACTAGGAATGCGTTTTGTTTTGTTTTGGACCTATTTTTCAGTTCGCTAAAATACTAATGTTTATAGGTGATGCCCATATCAATACTATGTTTTCGAAGTCTCAGTACGATGGCTATCAAGTGGAGTCTATTCAGTTTTTTCAGGAGATCATCTCTATCGAGGTTAGATAGTTGCTATTGCTTTCTTTGGAGTTCTCAAGGCAATATCCTGCGTTTGAGACAGTCTTTTTGGATTTTCGTCTTTTGCTAGACATCGAGCTTTCGATTTTTTCTTCTACGGGGAGTATATGCTATTATGCTTCTATGACGGCTTTTACATGCATCTATAAAGGTAAGTTTTCACGATGAGCATAAGATTTGAGACTGTTTCTCCCAATCCTGCAAATACTACAGGCAAACAACGACAAACATATCGCAGTCTATGTAAGGAGCAGCCCCAATATTGAAGATCTTCTCACCATGGACCTAAAGTTAGCCCACCCACGCATATTAGATGTTTAAGCTACATAGTGTTGCTTTCTTTAGGATTTCGTTGATTGGCACTGAAGTGTTTGCGATTTCATATTCAGCCTGGCCAAGAAAGAGATTGCCCGTGACTATGACTTCATATACTTATCAGGTGGGATGTACATACCAATCTTATGTTTATGTACATGTTTCTGTTACTACTTGTAATCATGGTATTGTGTAATTGTGAAACTAGAGCGCCTTTTCCTTTTCTTCTCCGGTACCTTAATGGCAAATGTCGTCTTGTTTACTTTGTCTTTAGCCTCTTTGCGGCTGCGTATCGTGCACTCTCAGGCCTGTATTTAGTACATTCCTTGCTGGAGAGGGTAGGGGATCTGAAAGGGGATGCTTCATTTCTATCCACTCTAGGTATCTTTCTTCTTCCTTCTCTATCTTGCTTATGAAGGTTCTCATACCCTATTACCTACACATAAGGCCCTGGCCAGACCTCGCTCAAAAGCGCCCAAATTTCTCTGATGTCTCTTCGCTTGCTTGTGTGAGGAGAGATAAGAGAGTATAGAGAAATTTGGGCGCTTTTGAGCACTTTTGGGCGTTTTTGAGCGAAGTCTGGCCGGGGTCTAAACCTTCATCCTATATATGAAGCTGAATGTTTGTTTATATGTTTGTCTGTATGTCTGTGTCTATCTGTCTGTCTGTCTGTACGTATGTTCCGAATAGAAAACTCCATTTTTGAACCGATCCGGAACAAACTTGGCACGCATACACTTCGGGCCCCAGCGGGTGTCATAGGCTACTTTTCGTCATCGATCGATATCGTTTATTGATTTTTATCGATTTTGCAGAGTTCATTACGGGGCTGGGAGTTTGCACAGGGAAATAATCGAGCATGCTAATTACGAGTACAATATTAGTTCTTGGATTCATCCATTACTTTTAACGATTTAATCGATTTTCTGCAACGTTTAAGCAACGGGGTCGGGATTTGACACAGGGGGGGGAGGGGTAAGTGGACACGCTGATTTCGAGAATTTCGGGATAGGGAATTGGCATGTAGGAGTGGGAAGGAAAGATTGCACAGGGATAGGTATGGGATCTTTATCATTTTGACAGGGCCGGGCGGAGCGTCAGCCAGCTAGTAAGCAAGATAGAGAAAGAGGAAGAAAGATACGTATGGAAGCGAGGTTTGACGCATCCCGTCCTCCCGCTCCCCAGCGGGGACGTACGTGCATACGGGCCTAAGTGTACGGGGCCAGTGCGTTGTCACGAGGACGGCTGGTCGAGTTATTAATCGCACTGACTGGTCGCAAATTGCGGAGCACGCGCCGCGTCGCCAAACCCTTGCACCAGCACAACGCTATCGTTTAAACTGTGTTCTCATGGCAATCCAGCCTTGTGTGTTCCGCAAACTACGGCCAGTCCTCCCGGTCGACGACTTGACGAAAGCGCATTGACTCGTATCTCACGCTATTTTTCAATTTTTCAGAATGTGTTAAAATTTGGTGCGAGGCGTCTTTGTGGAGGCATCCATATGTTCACCAAGGTAAGTTGTACCCCTTCATGTAACCTTTCTTCTATGTTCCTATGAAGAACATGAATTATTCTAGTGTCCGACGAATGCTCCAACATTTTGCCTCACAATGTCAGCATCAAAATATGCTCACAGCATCGATGACTGTGTTGAAGCACTAGAGGATCCAAAGACTTTCGCTAACAGTATTGTCATTATAGATGTCACTTTTTTCTAATTCATTATCCGCGTTGATGTGCTTACAAAGTATGAACTCGAATGGTATTACATTATTATTAATGGTATCAACTATGATCACATGGAAATTCCGAAAGATTGGCAATGTCTGCAGCTTCTACAGTTCTAGAGAACGTTCTGCGCGAATTATCTGGGTCCGCAAATTTTTTCCGTCAGCCGTCAGTTTTGCGTGTTTGTACTCTTTTGTAACAGATTCTGGTAAGGTAGCTGCATTTTTGTGCGCATTCTACCTGTAAGCACTGTTGCTTTGAGGGCCACCTTGGCTTTCTAGCTACGTCCCACCTACTTTCATCGACTTGCAGCATTTTGTGCAGGAACTCTTTAAGAGGGTGCTGGATCTTCGAGGGGCAACAGCATGCAAGTCCTGCGCCAAATAGGTAGCGAAGTGTAGTTCTCGAACGATTAGCTCGAGGGCACCACTGCGCTATCTCTTTAACATTGTCATAGTTAGGCTTCTAAAGTCAGTTCCTACGTGCGCTTCCTATATGTCCGGATCCTGAACGCTGCCTTCAGAGGCGCTGGGTCAAGGGCAAGGTAGCAACCGCCATTTTTAGCGCGTGCATGCTTTCCTGCTAATCAGCTTAGTCCTGGAATAGCCAAAAGTGGTGCCGCAATTGACGAGATTTGTTGGATCCGAACGTATGTTCATACTTGCCGAATTTACTAAGTAACACACCGGTTCAAATTTTTTTCTTCAACGCATGCAGCAAGTTCGAAGTCTCTCTTCATGTCGCCAATATTGTAAGCTGCCTTTATCTCAACATGCTGCGATATAACGTTGTGTTGCCTCTTATCATAAGTCGTTCTAATTGCAGTTCAAATTCGTATGATGTAGAAGGCGATGTATTGCTACGCATCGCTGCGAGCTGCTACTGGTGGGATAGGGGTTTTATTGCCGCTTCAATGTGAAAAGTCTTTGATCTTAAATGGGACAAATTCAATCCTAGCCATACGTAATCCAAGCCAAACGAACAGTGCCATTGACCCGCTGCTTACAGCAATCTTGCATAGCATTGCCTGTTTTAGTTTCTGATAGCCTAACATCCACATGTGAAACGGAACGAACATGTTAACGCAAGTTGACTGCTAAGCTTGATTACACTCTCTAGAATGGTGCGTAATGAACAGGTGTAGTTCAGTGCCTAATGTGCTGACTCTCGTTGGTCAGGGAAGAGTTCCATCCTAGCAGGTGCAATGGTTTTGCGGTCGACCTTTCATTGCACGTTACCTGTAAAATCGAAAGGCTGTAGAAACTCACGAACCTCACGGCCAAAACATGAGCTTGTCATGAGGTTCGCGAGGTCGCCGTCATGTCTTATGCCATCATGTCGGGTGGATTACTACGGGCCCTTGAGTCAAGGCATTGTTTCACACTTTGACGATTTATAGACATACAATTTTGAAATCAAAAAATGCATTGGCGAGTAGAAACTTTGAGTGGACTATAAGTTTGGCCAGCCTCCATTACAGTTTTTTTCCAGAATTTTTATTCTTCCTTGATTGAATGCAACGAAAGCGGAACCCATCCTAGTTGTTATCACTAACAACTAGGATGGGTAAGCTATCAACACACATATAAGCTAAATTCAAGATTGCTCTACCGACATGCGAATAAATCGCAGAAGTTTCTAGAATAGATCAGTAGTTTGGACAAAACTGTATATCAACTCTTGTTACACTACCTACCGTTGCCTGATTTTTCCCAAGTCGTTCAGCTGCGCACAGTATTATTGCTGCGGAAATGAGGTCAAGAGAAAATGGTTCAGAAATTAAGCAGATTTGCGGAAGTGAAATATTTCTCCAATTTCCCATGCAAGCCTCATTTTCAGCAATTCAGATAATTTATTAAGGTAATTCATCCCATCTCCATAGTAATGCTTTTTACTTCTTATATGTAGTTAAAATGTCGTAAGAAGCTGGCAGTGTTGATGTTACGCTAAGCAATGAGTGGTTAGATAACTTACTTGAAAATGAAGACTACGTATCTTTGAGTTAAATTTCTAGCTCATGGAAAGTCCCTAGTTCACACATTTCCATAACAGAAATTCGAACAGTTCAGTAAGACGTTTTCGATCGTCGGCTTTAGTGTGCGCTGTAAGGGTAGTAAAGGAAGTGACGTCAAAAAATTTCCATAACTTTACAAGTTTCTGTTATCTTCATCTGGTTGATAAAAAAATTCTGTATGAGATCTTATAAATTACTTTCAAGATAAACTCTGTTTTCAATAAAAGAATTTAATGTCATTAAAAATTTCTTCTCGATGCACGCAGTGGTTTTTGGCGAAATTTCGTCTCAAGCTCGCAAGAGATTTCCTTTTAGCAAGTAGTGACATGAATCTGAGAGAGCACACTTTATTTTTACAGATAGATAGACTAAAACGCGCATTCGCGGGGTTAAGACTTGGAGGATGAAGGGCCAAACATTATTTGTTCCCTTTAGTTTACATGGTGTTTGATGGAGTATAAAAATCCATTTTTGTCTCATTTTTTGTCTCTTTTTATCTCAAGCTATTTCTTAATGATAGTCGTTTTTTCTATATTCCCTTGTCAAAACGGTAATTGCTGACATCGGTTCCTATTTAGAGTTGATCCAGCTCAACGGTTCACTGACCGCAGTCCCATGGCCCGAAAATCGCAGTTTTCAAGATTTTGAAAAAACCTTGGAAGCAAATTTTGAAGAGCTGTGATACAATTTTGGGTTAAAGCAAACGCTGTGGACGCTGCCTAGAACTTTTTTTTTACATCAAGGACCATCTCACAGCGAAAAGAAGATCACGTCCAGTCCTAACTCTATGAACTTCCTCTGTTTGAGTGGGGGCAAAAAGTATCCTTCAAAACCTATCTCGCCTGTTTTGTAAAACGGAAACCTGGTGAGATTCTGAGAAGAGCTTTCGCCAAAACCGAATTTCGCGCAATTTGAGAAAGTTCCGTAATAGATTTGAGAAGGAATGAATGCTTTGTCCAGAGCCAGCGGTGGATACCTCAGAAGTTATTATACAGAAATTTCTGGCCTATCAAATGAAAAGAATTTTTTCTTGCGTCAGTCTGTATGTGGACCACCCCGTATTATATCGAACAAGATTTTTCAGCAGTAAAGAATTAATTATGAAGAATTTGGCATTTTCAACTCCTTTTGCCTACCCGAACGCATTTTGCTTTTCATTTGAAGGAGTTTTTATGCGTGCTAACCTTCACAGTGACTTCCAGGGATCAG